TGAATTAGAGTCCCTTATAGCTACTGACCGGGAGCACGCGTTGGAAAATAAAAAAGCCACCACTGGGATTCGAACCCACCCTCTGATGATTTGATAACCGCAAGCTTAACCACTTGGCCATTTAAGAGATATTGCTTTCGCTGTTCATAGGAGAAAACAAAATCAGTAACCTTACTGTACAGAATGTTGCTGTGTAAAGACTGAGTGATACCGACGCTGCAATTGTGCATCATAAAGCAAAAATACACATTCAAACACACGAACAATAATTGTCAACATTAATGTTCTCCCTGACTGCCTGTTCGAACTCTTGTGAATAAAACGTCATTCGCTTGGGGGCGGGGGGCTCTCGTGTTCTTTCACTCGGCCTGGAAATCAATTTTGATTGAGTAGGTGTTTGCGCAATTGCTTGCAGCCAAGTTTCAAAGTGGTTTACACTTCAATTTATACAAGTTTTATTATTTCTATTTTAAGCATTTGGAATGTAAAATCTGTTCTATATTAATATTCTTTTATAAATGAGCTGAACATCTTTCCAGATTCACAATTTGGTTTTAGACGTGAGGCTCCAAATCTGACGAACATTCTTTGACTTGTTTAAAAAGTAACTTAAGTGACAGAAGCCAGTATGTTTCATGTATAGGTGCAATTCTAAAATTAGCAATATGTCTGATAAGACGACAGTTTGCTGATTCGTTGATGATATAACTTTATTATAATACTGACAAAAATGTTGACTTGGCCATTCAGAACCTTAGTGTTGAGCTCCAAAATTTTAACTACATGGCTTTTAGCCAAAAAATTGTGTTCTTATCTCAAATTATTTTATATTTTGTGCTAGTCAGTGCAAGTAAATTCGGTTTGTTCTTTGAAGTCTGAATAGCACCTATCTATGTCAGGCGAGGACACAATTCTTGGGAATACGTATTGACGAGAATTTCACTTAGAAGTCTGACAGTTTATCAAAAGTGCAAAAAATACTAGCTTAATCTACCGTGTTAAAGACCAGCAGAGCCTCCGTTGTCAAGAAACTATACAGCGCAATCTTTTGGTCCAGCTCGAGGCCCATAGGGTATAATTCTCTATGGTGTACCGCCTTACACCTGCATCCGTGTCTGTGCATGGTTTGCTTGTATACAATGTATGTCGTTCACCATTGACAAGTCTTTCTGTCCGTCTGTGGGCCGTGGAACACAGGCGTTTGTTTCATTCCGGACATAGATGTTACCATTTTTTGTAATGATTTTCCTAATATCAATTTGTAATAAATGCATGGCTTTAGATTATAACCATGTTACTTTCTGGTAATTGGCAACTTGAATAAATGTATAAATTGCAATGTAGCGTAGTTATGTTTTTCAACAACTGTAAATTTTGAAAACAATTCACTGGACAGAAGTTGTGGAATGACTAAAATTTAGCAAAGATGAAGCTGCTGTAAACGGCTCACTGACTGGAAAGAACTGAAATAAATCAATAAAAAATAGTGCGTCCTGAAACTTGACAAGTTCTTCTTCAGAGGCTTAATCCCTTGTGGTTTGTCCTTTTGTCCATGACCCACCCTTTCACGTTCAGGGCTGTTTGGGGGGATATCGACCTTCCCTTCCCCTTTGCACTTCTCCATTCAGCTCTGCTTGTATATATATATACATAGCATATCAAGTTCTGTAACCCAGTCATTTGCCTTTCAGCCTCTAAAGAACCTGCCAAGTTCGAAACGTCAGGATACACTATTTTTGACCAGTCTTTGATTATTCAGAGGGAAGAAACTACTGTTGAAGGTTCTGGCATACGTTTTCTTTTTAGTTTGTTTTGATGTCCCGAGTGACCGGGTATTTGGAGGAACAAAAGCCTCTGCTAGGACACCTGTTGTGTTGTTTGGGATCTTATGGAGCATTGTTATTCCACTCATTTTCCCTCTTTGTGCAGGAGTGAGCCTTCCATAATTCCCGGGGACGTGCTGTCGGTGTTCTAAACAAACCTGATTGCATTCCTTTGGACTCGTCCAAGGTGATGAAGATTTGTTTTCAGGTTAGGACTCCGACAAGAAAAAGCATACTCTAACAGGACGAGCTAAGATGTATTTAGATCTGATAGGTTAATCTGCCAGTAAGTATACTTCAAAGAATAACATAAAGCAAATAAACACACACCTTGACCTCTTTTTCATTTTTTTTGCGTCACTTAATTTTTTATGGGTGCCTGTTTATCATTCGCGGCCCAGATAATGCCGCACCCCTAGGAGTGTTTAGGTATGCATGTATCTTTCCTTGCTACGTGTTTCGAATGTAACATTTATGCTAAATAAAACACTTAACAAGAAGGACCCTGATTGGGGTCATCAGAGAACCAATGCCTAACAGAAATGTATTCAGTTTGTTGAAAAAACATAATTATAAATTAAGTGCATTCTCGCAGAAATGTTCATTTTTGTAGTAACTGCCATGTAGGCCCGAATTCCAAATAAAGTAAATGTATTTATGAATTAAAATGCCACATTGAAAGGCTATTGTAATGCAACGAGTCCAACGTTATGCAGGTGCTATAATGGGGCGGGGCTTAATGGATCGGCCTAATAATGGCTGATGCCTCATGGACTAACAACAGCCCCCCCCCACTTCGGAAATCATTTTGCCGCCGTTCCATCTGTGCCAGCAACATCATAGATTATGCAACGGGGAATATGCCTCTAACTTGAGTATATAATATATGAGCTATGAACCTTTGGCTGGGAAAGCTCATCTACCCCACTAGGACCAAGTAACTGATCTGAAAAAGGCACACCTCAAAACAGAAAAATGGCAAAATTGACAGACAGTACTAAAATATAAGTGTCCACTATAAAAAAAAAAGTTTAAGCAATTTTATATATTCCATTGATAAAAAACAGACAGTAAATAGTCCAATTTCTGCTGACATTCAATGACCATTAAGAGAAATGTTGCCAAAGAATCAACACAGAAAATGCACAAGAGATATAACCAGCACTGATGTCAACACGAGATAAAAAAACAGTTTCCGGTGAAGACGACAAGTAATAAGGTTTGTGGACCATACTACTTGTTACCCTGCTGGTTAGAAACAGCAGCCAGTACCATGCGCATGGTGGCACTGATATCTTCCAAGGTATGCAGCATACTTTCTGACAGCTGCACCTGTTGACGCTGAACCTGCAGCTGTTCCATTTCTATGGCTAAGATAGAGGCCAAAACAGACTGCTTCGTGCATGAAGAACCACCTGGCTTGGAACATGTCTTTGAACGGGATGGAACATCTCCAACATGTGCATTCCCACAACCAGTTCGGCACAGATTATCGGCCCCGTTCTCACTGCCGTCATGAGCACCATGCTCCGGTTCACAAGGGAATCTCGTACTTCTGTCACAGCCAACTTGGCAGGAGCTGATGAGTGCTGTAAAAATGTTGAAAGAGCAAAAGGAATGAGCTACGATGATAAAGTTATCAGATTCTTTCTTCTAGAGTCTCGGGCCAAGATGAAGGGCCTACAGACCAATCCGATTGGACGCCATAACTGCAGGTGGCACTGCAGTCACATGCACATTCTTCAGCTTGACGCGTGCGTGCATTTGCCTTACAAATCCCGGCACCCTATTGGTCAAGGAGGCACGTAACGCGCGCGCACCACCTGTCCACTAGCGTTGTGCCAGTGCAGTAATGTCTCTAATTCTGGGTGCCACATTACACTACAGACAATTATTTGAACAAAAGGGAGAATTATATTGCTTTATGGGTATAACAGTTTAGTCTGTCGGGATGATGATCATATAGGCCAAAATGAAAATCCTTTTGCAAGAAACCAATAACGAGGATTCTACACCGAATATAGAGGAAAATGGGTGCTTCATCGTTTGTTAGGAGTCTGATTAATTCACAGGCAAATGTATAGAAATATATGCACATGAACTAGTTGCACTGCACATAACAGTCCTACCCATGATGAACAACCACGGCACTGCAGAGACAGCATGTTTGAGGGTTGTAAAGGAAAACGAACTCACCTGTGCCTTCAAACACAAAGCCATCGCTACTTTTCAGCGTGTGCAAACCAGCCTTGTTGACTGCCCGTACGTTGCCGTAGTAACGCAGTCCACTCTGCAGGTCCAGGCCAGTAAACTGGGCGAAAGACCCATTGGCTGAGAAGGTGTGGTCGGCAAACTGACGAATATCTTCCCCTGAAGAAAGAAAAACAAGACAGTCACTTTTTTGACAAGTACCTTACAGGCAAAACATTTTCAAATGAGGTCCTGTTACGCTTCACCCAACAATTCAAGAAAGTTTTCCAGAGTCTACCAAGGTACTTTTGAGTGAAATTTCACAGAGTCAGAAGGGTCAGTTTGTATTGTCACCCTCTAACTTACTGAGATACACCTAGTAATACTTACTGTACTCACATCCTACGTAGAAACCGAGGCATACCTGTGAGTTTTTTCACTTTGCCCGTTATTAGGCGCTGGGTACCGCAAGGTGTTCTCATGCATTTCCAAGGGACACATTTAGAGAAATTATGCCTGCTAAATTCACATCCTGTGTACTCACTTCCAGGACAGGTACTGAAGGACTTCCAGTATATATTCATCTCCGAGTCTATTGGGAGGTTCTGAGTGACACCCAGTAGAGAAGGTGCGCACTTGTCTCCCATACGGGTACATGAGTGTAACCTAGAAGTGGGTATACTCACCACCTGGAGAGGTACTAACACCTGGTAAAATGTGTCCTCACCACCAGGAAGGTACTGAGTGACACTTGGTAGTGAGTGCACTTTCCTCCTGGATGGGTTCTGAGCGACATACACCGGGTAGTGAGTGTACTCACCTCTGGATACGTACTGAGCAACACCTGGTAAACAATGCACTCACCTCCTGGAAAGGTACTGAGCGACACCTGGTAGTGGGACATTGCATCGTCGAGAAACACACCCTCCCAGGAAATACAAATTATGTCAGGATTTGTCAAGTGATCCGCGTCTTCGGTTGCATTGCAGGTTGCAAGATCTTTAATCTGAAAATGAAAGGTATTGCAGAAAATCAGATGATGCCAAAGACCTGAGGAAAATAAATTTCGGAGCTAAATATCAGTTCCTTACAAACTATAACTCCAAAACTGGTGAGGGCAAAGAATCACTATACCTGGAGAAAATTTACAGGCCTCTATGAAATCTCTCTTACCTTTGCGCCTCTGGCTGTTGAAATGCTGGGTGGTGTGACAACAGGGATGACGCCATCTGACCTGAACAAAGCGTAGGTGTTAGCATCATACCAGGCCCGGACAAACACGTGATACTTGACTCCCTTCTGCAGCTTGTGGTCTGATAGATACAATGCAAACGAGAGCGTTCCAAATATAAAGAGAGTACACAATAGATGGACACAGCAATACCATTTGTGTTGTAGCTTCACTTCCACTTCCACGATCAACTCTCAATCGGATCATTGTGTATGCACTCTGGGATAGTTTCCATCGGACTCAGTCAAAAGACGACAACAAACTCAAAGATATAGTTGGAAGAGCAGGTTTACACAAACGGCACGCGAAAAAAAGAAGATGGGGGAGACAAAGGGCTATGTAGTTTAAAAAGAAGAAAAAATGAGGAAGACGAAGACAAAAATGTGACTGGGACTCCACGATATTTTAGAACATGAATGAAAATAAACACTACTCAGCCCTCTCTTTTGCTCTTGATTGAGGATGCCCATAAAGTTTCCATCTACTCTAGTGAATTGTACATTCAGTTTGCAATATTCTTATTCAAGCGCTTTAATTTTGTGGATTTACTCATTGCAACATTTTGAAAGGGAAGGCTCTAAAACAGAATAGGGGAATTTTTAGGAATTGTTTTTAAGAGTTACTACTAAAGTTAAGCTAAAATTGCCGTATATTCTTAATAGGAAATTGCCAGATCTTGAGGTCATTTTCTCCATATATGCCGGAGTCTGTTACCTTCGTCTAGTGTGATAATGACTTGGTTATCCTGTCCCACGTCAAACCATACTCTGTCCCTGCCTGCATCAAAGACTCCAGATGGATCCGATGAGGAGTCATCACCGATGCTCCACTCAAACCTGATGGTGAAAGGTAGGCAGCAATAGCAGAGGTTCAGTGGACCAGTACTGTTGGGCACTGTTGCCCCCTTCGTCTTTTGAAATCATGATGCTATCACAATGAAATAAAGAGGACTCTCCCCTAAATTCCAAAGCGTGCAAAAGTTATTCTGGTCAAGTGCAAATTCATTCCCATTGGTGGAAACGAGAGGCAAGACGAATTCAAGTGAAAAGTAGATTCAGTAATCGCGTTTGCACTGGAAGGGGTTTTCAAACTATTTCAATGTATCTTTTAGAGTAATTTTCACTCTAAAATATCTAATCGTGAGTTTCAGTCTTTGGATATGAGTTAATTTTCAAACAAACTCGAATTGTCAATTCTGATTAATCGATCCATTGCATCAAACAGTGTGATGCATAACTGCATTGTATGGTTCATATTTAAACCCTGCGTAATGCACTATTCTAACTCCGTGCATTGCGCTGTACGTTTTAAAAGTCAGACACGCAGATGCAAAGTTTACTAGAAATTCAAAGGTGGCGCGTCTTCACTGCGCATCAAAGTTGCTGGAAGAGAAATTTGTTATCACGCTCGTAGAATATGGAATAAGGTAATTCCAGAAATTAGAGGTCCAAAAGTGTGACTTTTTTGTGTCCCTGTTACATCTTACCTTTGTGATCTAACATGGAAATATCACCGGAAATGATTTCAAACTGTTACTAAGTTTGGCATGTGATTTACATTAATTCATCACTCTAGGAAATCACAAAAATATGTTCTGAACTTACAAAATCACATGTCAGATGTGACAGGGACAAACACAAAGATGCACCCCAAATTTCTGGAACTACCTAATAATGTCATGTGTGTGTACCGTATACTACCCGACTTCCTGGTAAACGGGACACAAATGCCACTGCATTGTTCTATGTTCCACTTGTGCTCATGTAATGACAATGTACAAACCAAATATGATTTACTTTCAGTACCCCCTTGCAAAAAAGATGTGTGCCGCCCTCAAAAATATTGCACCCCAGTCATGGCTCTGTAAGAGGAGGATCTAATCACTGGTAATTACTTCACAAGCACCGAATGTCCAGCCCCTCTTGCATGTACAGCAGTTAAATGTCAGTATCAATGCCCATGAAATGTGCAATTGGTATATATATATTATACATATATGCACTACGCACTTTCTTCGAAAAATGTTTTCAAGGGGCAGCAACAGGAGTGCCAATGTCATAATCAACACCAACATCATGAAAACTCACCATGTGATACCTAATCCTTTCTGTTCAGTGACTCGCCAGACTGCAGCTGCCATGAACTGAGTAGCGGTTTCATCGACGTCTGTCGCGGTGCTGACATCGTCATGCATCAGATCCAGTACGTCCAGAACTTCTATCTCGGTGTTGGGATTACCTTGAAGGCAAAGCAGGAAATGATCAAAGAGGTGTGTGAAAGAGCAATGTACGACAGTGAATTTTCGTTATTTATCTTACGATGTTGTCTCCTGCATTTTTACCACTACTTCACTTTTTCATGTCACAAAAAAGGAAGAAAATATCATTGGATGTAAGGGGGCAAGATGGCTCCTCTATATCACCCCTGTGGAAATCTCCAGGGTAATTAACTGCAACTTTCCTCTTGGGTCTGGTGATAGAAGGCCACAGCAAGTGCACATCCAAATTCTATTTTCTGCCTTCGAAAAATTTGGAAAAATCTGCCCTGCCCTGTTCGTACCATTGGTTTTTCACCTCCTTTTTGACTGTGCCCCCTTTTATCATAAACAGTCAGCACTCAACATTTTTCAAACTACTGATTCCTCATTCCGCTTGAGCTCTAACAATAGCATTGCTAAATTGAAGATCAATTTGGCTTTCCTTGTCGAAAGGACACATATCCTCTCTACGAAACCCTGCTCACTTTCAGTTATGTCATTGCAACTCTGGCCTGCTGCACATCTTTCGCCAATAGGTGCGCATGCGCAGCGGCCCTTGCGGGTCGTTGCCGAGGAGCTTCGCAGCAGGACAAGGGAGCCCTCGTCGGCTGAAGTGGGAGAGGTCTCGAATGTTGAGTGATGGCGGATGCTTTGTAACCCAACCTTGTGAAGAAAAGCACAACAGAAAACTTGAGGAAAAATAGATCACCAACTTTGTAGTCCATTAATGAAACATCAATGCCAGAAGAAGGTGGATTTATGACTAGTTTTTCAGTAAGTACGCAGCCAGCTTACGGTGACAATATGCGCTGCCTAACCATATTGCGATCCGAAAAATGTTTTCACAGAGGCACATTCTCTGGTATTTGTTACACAAAACTTTACTGTTATATTGAAAGAAAACGGATGTAATCCAAACTGGAAGCTGGTAAAACCTTTCAGGTGAAATCTGATGCACTTTTGAGGGTTGTTCAAGTAAACAACTCTTTATTCGATAGTATGCTCTTCTTTTATCAAATCTGAAGAGATATTACGCAAAGATATTTTGCTGTGCATTTATAAACAAGGTCAGTCTAAATGAAGTTTAAAGAGAAGAGAATTATCGCAATTGACCACAGAGGAAAGAAATTAGTAAAATTTGGAAGAAATACTGAAACCACGATCAACCTTTTGACAAATTTCATTTAAATAAGTCCTTTGTCACAACTGCAGATTGATTTAAATTAGGAACACACACATCATGGGGATTGTAGAAAGAAGGTAGGTATGTTTACCCTGTTAACAGCCCATATGGAGATGTACAGATAGGGAGGAGACAGGTCTGTAATGCTGCCCTCTAGAGGTATGATGGCTGTCTGCGCAATGCCCTCGTCCAATGACATGCCATCGTTGCTGTGGTCTACACGGACTGGTCCATTCTTGGGACATATAAAAAAGACTCATAACTTAATGTTGATTTCCCAGTAGCCAGTTTGACAAAAAAAGATAAAAAACCACTAGTACTGAATTGCCTGAAATGAACACAAGACGACAGATGAACCAGGCATGGCATGTATACTATGTAGCTCATAGGAAGTGAGCTGTCTTTCAAAACTGATGCAATGAAAAGAGTGGGTTGAGAACCCAATTTTTCTTTTTTTTGGGGGAAGCAAAATTTAGGAATTGTTTTCATGTAACCTTTGATGGCGTTTCTATGGGGGAAGCTACTTTTAAGGGACTTTTTAAACGCTTAGGGGAAAGAGGAGAAAATGAAACAGAACAAAAAGATCAATTTATCATGTTTCATTTTACTTTCACATTAAAATGTTTGACTTGGGCTTTGATGGGCCATGGCCCCCGTTGCCCCCCTACCATTATCAATGACACCACAGAGTGAACTGCAGATGAGAGAACACGAGCCAAAACAGCCAAACAAACATAAAACAACCACATGAAGCATTACAAAATCATACACCATATATGTATCGACTAAGAATATAACAATTTAAAAACACAGAAACTCATTTTGAAATTGTTTTTTTATGGATTTAGCAATTTATGGGCAATTCCTCCCAAATTTCAGTTTCATTATTGATGGTCATGTTAATCATACCCTTAATTTGATTTTTGAAAGAAACGCAAAGATACCTGAGTGAGTTCCGAGCCGCCGTAGGTGCGTCCGACGGAGACCAAGTAGTGGCTGATACCAGAGTGCACATCGGCAAATCCAAGCCAGGCCAGGGCTAAGGAACCAGTGGAGGTGCTGGTGTCTTCCAGCCACGTCATCCAGCCAGAGTGCTGACGAGCAGGAGGTGAGGAACTACCTTGGTCTACCTCTTGTGGATCAATCCAGACGATGCGATGACGATTCAAGTTGGCGGCACTCTCTGTATCCACGGCAAACGCCCCAACGGAAGGTGGGCTACTATCGACCTGAGAATGGTGAAAGTTGTCATGAGAAGGCACGCTCGAGAGATGACTTTTGACAACTATTCACTCTGAGCAGAACAAGAAAGGGCAAGTTTCTACACGGATATGACATCCAATTTGATGGGAACCCACAGCGTAAGTGCACAAATTTATGCAAGCTTGGTGCATGATGCGACAAAACGCACGACCAATTTGTGTTAGAATGTGCGGGTGTGGAATGTATAGTTGGACCTCTGCACAAAAGAAGTCCACATAATGTAGGGTGTAATGGCGTTGTGTGGACTCGCACATGTCCACACAATATTTTCCCCTCTCTGAAAAACAGTATCAGAGGCATTTTTGGGTCAAGGTCAATGTGGCAAAATGAAGAGGAACAGTCCAGGAAATCATCATCAAAAACCCAGCCGGAAGGATAAGTTCTCCTAGTTGGAGAAAAAGGAGCATTCTCCTCAAGTTTCCTTAACCGCAGGAGAACAAAGAAATATCCACACTTTGTATGTAAAACAGGTATGGGTGTATATGGTTTGTGCATAAGACCGGTTGAAAAGCTTCCCACTGGCCTGCTATACTTCTTTGCTGATGAGGGTGTATTCCAACTCTGAGCAAATAGGTGGACCATCTTCCAAATGATGGATGGGTAAAATGCCTAACTGGCACGCTTACACTAGGAGTTGTCAATAGTTCTCACGGCAAAGTACTCCATTGGTTGTGACAAGAAAGTAGTTACATGAGATTTGAATTGGCAGAGACTGAAAGCAATGAGAGATGCAGTTAACACCAAAATGTGAGTGGCCACGGGATTTCACAGGATAGGTTCAATTAGCTGTAGTGTGCGTGTGTTCAAAAGGAAACGGACCAGCGGTCAAACCATACAGTTAGCACTCAATACTGATGAACTTGGGGAAAAGAGGGGAAGGAAGAGAATGGAAATTAAGGACGATGTTGAAGACACAGATGGGGATCGTCTACGCTAGCAGATGCAAGCATCATTATGCACTGAAACCTACATTACATCAGACGATGTACAATTACGGGAGTGGACAACTACAAGTCAAACAGATCAAGATATGTCTTATGAAGTTTATTCAATGTCAAAATGGTGGACAGCCCAAGTTCTAACTACTGTGTGCTCAACATCCGTGGCTGCAATGAGCCCCAAGCACGACCAAGAGAGGGTGCAATTTTCCTATCAATGGAGACTAGCTCTTTTGATAGGAACTGCATTTTGCTGATTCACAAATGACTATGAAATACGTGTTCCAACAAAAACACCAACAAAAATGAACACTCCCGAACCTCAACGTGGCTCGTTTTTAACCAGTGACGGTGCTTCTACTCAAGGCAGATTAGGCCTAAGGCAATACTCATCTGTAGAAAGTGGCTGAGCAGTGGGTCGCATAGGCACACATGCTGTTCCCAGCTATGGCCGTAACATTTTGACACATGGCTTTCTTACCAAAAGGGGTTCCATCTTGGCCTCCGTACAGAGGCCAGCAGCATTGCAAGCAACCACGGTTATGATGTAACGACTTCCATCGTGCAATGTCAAATTGGTGAAAGTGTGGTCCACTTCACTCCCTGCAATCTGCAGACAATAAAACTGGTGACTTGATGAAGTTTATTCTGATTTATTAAGCATTAGTTCCTGTTCAAATACAACGAATCCGAATTGTAATATTTCTAAGCATTCAGCATATTTGATTTATGGGTAAATTCACTCAATTAATTCAGCTTAGGTCAACTTTTGTTCCAAAGGAGCCTATCCAAACTCCATACTGTTAGCTGCAAAATCTTTCTTTAAAAATGTTTACCTTGATTGGAGTTATACTGACGTCTCCATTGCGGTGTGTCCTGAGTGATATGTACTGGTCTCTGATACCGCTCTCAGGGTCAATGAACTTCCAGGAAAAGTGGATGAGATCGCGTAAAACCTATAACCAGGTTACACAATTCAATCACAATGAAAAATCTATACAAGATTTTAATGAACAAATACAAGAATCTTAGCGGAACCATTTTTTCATGGATGTGTACATGATGACGACATGTTAGAAAGTCGAACTCCAAATTGATTACGCCTAGTTGTACGCTTGCAAGTCCCTTTGAAATCTTACCTGGGTGTTTTGGACGACCATCCCCTGCGATTTATCAACAGCAGGCGCATCCACCACGTCAGGGGGGCTAGAGTCCAGACGGAACCCATTAGATGTAGCCTCACTCCACATGCCGAGCCGGTTATAGGCGCGTACGGTGATGTAGATGTCAGCGCATGTGGGCAGCTGGTCTGACACTGGCAGGAATATCAGAGCATCCTCCGACAGCTCAATGCGTGAAGAGGGGAGAATGTCCTCAGCTCCTGGTGTAGTGCCAGCACGCCATTCGTAGTGGGAGAGGCCAGAGTGAGGGTCACGGAAGCCCCACCAATGGGCACGCAACTGGAACCTAAGTAGACAGCCGAAGAAAATGAAAATAGTGTAGTATTGAAAAAACTCGTAGGTTTGAAGCCACCACGCCTGAATTGATGTGCAGACCTTTGTATTGAAGGTCAAGCAAAACAAAATTAAAAATCAATCAACTAACCGTGTGCAATGCTGTTACATCTCTGCAGTTCCAATGTCTTTTACTTACACACGTTTTAACAGTTGCTATCAATTCTCGATCCAACTCACCTTGATGACTGGTAGCTGATGTCACCATCCCCTGGTCCACCATCATACACCTTCCCAGGCACTGGAGGCGAGACATCTACCATGACTCCATCGGAGGTCACTGACGTACAAAGGTCAGCTGCATTACAGGCCGTCGCTGTTACATAGTAGGTCAATCCAGGCACCAGGTTTAGATTTTCAGCAACCACATCTGAGTGCGAAAACACAATAGGTTATCCAGACTTCCCTTACATAAAGGACGGGATTTACACGTGGGATGCTTTGCAACGCGTGACCATAAGCATATATTTGCTTTGGTCATTAGCTGGTCAATTTTCTGACTTCGGTCATACCTTTGTGACGTCATTGTTCTGACTCGTCGTTAACGATGATATGAGTGGTTGATCATACGTTCTTAACGGCAGAGATTAAGCAGACTTTTTTTGTCGTCTACGAATAAGTTAATCATGAATCCCCCAATCTGATATTGCAAAATGGGTAATGTCTTCTGGAAAAAAAACGAGAAAGCAATAGCACAAAGAATCTTGCTGAATATTGAGTGAAAATGACATCTAACAACGGTGTTGTCTGCTACCCTGTACTTTATCTCTCTCTGCTTAGTTTGGTGGGCGACCTTAGGCATGTTCCTGGCTATTTTTGCGTTGACGTCACAAACAACTTTATACGTTATAACATGCCCAAGTGCCCCTTCACGGGTGAAAAAAAGAGAGGTTTGTGAGGACCACGGGTCGAAGACCATGCACTCAAACAGAAACTGGTTCTACTGTGTGCGAAGCACTTACTAAGGAGCCTGTGTGGTAAGTCCCACCAAAGGGGCATCGTTGCTACATTTATAATCACAACAAACCATTTCTTTTTCTACACATGGATTGGATATACGTCTACGTATGTGTAACACAAATGCTCAAGTTTAGAGGGACCACAGGGCTGATCACGAGCAGAGTGGCGCAGCAACAGATTTATATGATGATAAAAAGCTCTTCAATTGTCTTTTCAAGTGGAGAACATAAAAGGAACACACATAGCGACAGAAACCTTACGCAATTTAGTACAACTCAACTCCGGTCAGCTGTGGTCATATATATGACAAACGGCATCCGTGGAAGTTCAAATATCTCATGAAAGACAACATACAAGAAGCACATGTAGCAACATTAATGGGTCTTCAGAGGAAAACAAAGCCTAGAGATGTGCTTGGACTAGTCTCAGCTTATGTGTACATTTATGAAACTAGAAAAGACAAAAAAAACTTTGATGTGTACAACTGAAATCTGTTCCAGATTATTTCAGTGCCGATGTCTGAATATTACCTGTGTTCAAACCCACATACTGTTCAAGCACGACATCGCTACACCCTGGACACGTCCCAGCTCTCCAGAAATAGCCGATGATGGAACTATGCGGGTCATGGAAACCTTCCCAGAATGCTCTCAACTCGGTGCAGTCTCGCTGGAAGTCTCGGTCTCTATGATTGGCCGGCGCTCGCCCCAGATCTCCGTCAAAGACGTGGCCGGCAACTGGAGGGCTGGCATCGACCGTGAAAGCTCCGTAACTCCTCAGTGTGATCAAGCCCACAGTATTGATGGCCTGAAAAAGGTGCATAATAGAAACATTTTTCAAGTGTGGAAAACAATCCCGGTCATTGTCACCGTGGCCAGAGTTGGCCTACTATTTCACAAAAGCAAACTTGACAACGTATTCTGCCTACAACTAACCTTCACAGAGATAAAATACGAGTGACCATCTTGAAAAGGTAAACGCCGTGAAGGATCACTGACACCCGTCTCATTATCCACTCTCGTGAAAGGCATGATGTCTGCACGGCCTCGGTGTGACCCCACAGCCCACTCGTAGTATGCAACACCACTCTCCCTGTCTGAGAACACATTCTTCCAACTGAAAAAAAGACCAAACATTCAGTTGAATGAAATAACATACAAATAAATGTTAAAATAACCACCACAGTGTATAGAATCAAGCCTTGGCTTTAGCGCCATGGATTCGTGTTCAAATTCTAACGCCATGTTTGTGTGATTTTATTTCACAGACAGCCGCTGAACCTTTTCTTCTCCGATTTCTGGGGTTAAATCTTGTTGGTGATGACATAATTAAGCGAAAATAGAAAAGCACTGGCCCCATTAAGAGGAGCAGAGTGGGTTGGGCATTTCTACAATGTGTCTGAAAGCTTGTTTCATTGTGGATTTCACTGTCTGACAGTGTACCTCGCCGAGATGGAAGTTGTCGACCGGATGAAGCTGCCACCAATGTCCAACGTGTGATCCTCATTGACAACAGGAGGAGACGTGTCAATGACTATTGAATCTGACATCGCTTGGGAAGACAGGCCGACAAAGTCAGTTGCTGATTGGAGGAAAATGAACAATGCCACAAACACTTGAAATGGAACGAAGCAACCCATAATATGCTTGAGGTGTTACTTGAAATCTCTCACTTTTTAAATAACATCTTGTCAGGCGGTCTTTATCAGCTCAACTGAGATATGACTACAACAAGATTTAAATTTGATGAGACATAAACTACTTCAACATATAATATTAAAGCAATTACTGGACAAAGTCTCCCACATCAGACTTGAGAAGACAAGCAGTGATTAAAAATGATGACAGAGTCACAATTTTATTAACAGAGGTCCCCTCACTTAACAAACCCTTTTGCACCCTATATCTTTACCTCTCACTGTGGCATAGTACTTGTGTCCATTCTGTAACCTCAGCTTGTGTGCGATAACCTTGTTGGTGATTCCAACTCGAGTGAATCCTTTTACGTCGCTGCCACCTGGCATTGAGCCTGCCGTGACAGAATGTCAATAATACAGATGTACCGAAGTAAATTATCACACACTTCAGGGAAAATGAGTAAATGTGACCTGTTACAACAAAATGAACCTTTACGTCACACTTAGCTGTTTTCTATTCTAACGAGTCGAAGTAAAAGATTCAAGGGGAGGCCAATTTTTGAGTTTTGTAATAGGCCCATTCGGAAATAGCAACCCATTTTTCAGTTTAATTCCAAAGTTTCAGCAGGATCAGATACTTAAACCATGATTTTCCTACCAATTCTGATGATAGCATTATTTGTACCCAGTCAGAAAAGTTGAAACGGTGTTAGAAACAAAGACACAAAGCCGCCGGAATGACGTCTCATTGCTGCCCTACTTTTTACCCCAAGTGTTATAATACGATGGTAAAGGTCTTTTTTTTCTGCTGCAAGAATTCCAAAATACCAATATCTTAATATTTGAGAAATTTCGACTTATTTTGCCGTGACAGGTCGCAAATGGTGGTTTCACCGAGTCTCATCATTGCAAAATTCATCAGCAGCACGTAGGATGAGAAATCACGCTTTGATTGGTTCTCTTGCAGACATCAATTCTGTTGCTCAGCATAATAATGACTGACAAGCACATGAAATGTCTTCTTACCAATGGCATATTCATAGTATTTGATTCCCGAGTGATGACGGGCGAAACCGTGTTCCTCAATGTCAGTGAATGACTCCCAGTGCAGCACCAACTCTGAGCTAGAACTCTGTCCACATAAAAACAAGACAAAGTCAGGTTCGTAACTGTCAGTAGTCTTCATCCAAACAAGTCATTTCATCCAAAATACAAACCACAATGGGCCAGATAAGTATTTAAACATGTTGTGACTGAGCATATGGCCACAGGTCGACCTTGTGCGAGTTAATGACCTCCGCGCATTTTTTGGGCATGCGCTATTGGAATGTTGTTATGATAAGCTGGTTCATTAAAAAATTGCTAGCAAGTGCTCGTTTGGATCTCAGTTCACGCCAGTTACGTGTAGCTTCCCTAATGCAACAAAGGGTTGTGTGTATAGCCTACCCATAGGTAGTACTTACTGTCTAACAAGTGATATGTAAAAGCTTTGGAAATAAAATAAAAAAATTTCGGATTTTTGTTTTTCCCCTGCCTGACATGTATTATAACACTGTACACTCAGTGTTTGGCCCCGAAGGCTTGTGAAAAAAACCACAAGCGTACTTGGGTGAGACTCGAAAAAAACTTTTAACATCTCCCCGGCGCAAATCCATCCTTGGAAATAAAACTAAGCTTTTAATGACAGTTAATGATAAAGCAAAAAAGAAGACATTACTTGACTGGTTTGATGCTGGTTCCAACCGATCCATACAGAGCCAGGGGTCGGTGGGGTCGTATCTACGACAACACCATCACTGCAGCTTGACACAGCAGGTAATGGTTCATTCCAGAGCTCATGCTGCACTGTAACTTCATCAGCGTGGATGCAAATACGATAACGCTTCCCATGCTCCAGGGATAAGTCAAGAATATTGACGAACTCTTGATCTAAAAAAAAAAATCAAATATTACCACCCATGCCAATCCCAGTGCACGTTGTAATGACTTCCATACGTCATTCAAATTTGAACCTCTGTGGGAGGACAAGTAGACTGGGCATGATACTGACTTCTAGTCAAGACTACAGTCCTAGCAACCATGTCCAGTTTCAGCCAACACGCTACGTTCAGTCCTTAGCTAAGAGACCTGTTGCGATGCCTCACATAAATTTTGTCCAGCCTTCTAAACTGAGAGAGAGTTCAGTGCTTTTAAAAGTGCATCTTTGAAGTTGTAACTGAGACAAAAAACTGATCATTCAACATCATTATCCTACCTGTCTCCCCACAGGCCATAACCCTTGAGTGATTGCATGGATACTCCAAACCCAAGTCCAAATCTCCGAAGTCTGTTGATCCGGTGTCCTCAATGGCTGCCCAGAAGTAGGCCCTGTGGCGCAGCGTGGGCCAGACAGCTGATAAGGAGGATGTAGACGAGATGTAGTTCTTGTCTGGTTCCGGCCACACTGCATTCGGCTCAAGGTAAACTTCATCTGTTGCAAAGGCAAGATGATAAAAGGTGTACGTTTCATTTACAGCCGATCGCCACAAATTCTGACTCATTAGAACAGCATATGTTTGATATTTATATGTGATGCGATCTGCAAAATTCCTTCACATGGTGAGCTTTGTCATTTGGGTGCATATAAACTTCCAATTAATATGGACGCACTCTTGTTTTCAGGTCTTTTCCATTTAGGATTCTAGGTTGTCAAAAACATGAATGTAGGTTGTCTAGAACCACGAATTAAACAGCTTTGAAAACAGGTCAGTGTCCAGATGAATATGAAGTTGATACGCACCCAAATGACAAAGCTCACCATTTGAAGGGTTTTCGCAAGACCACATCACGTTTACGCAATCGTATATTTGTTTTTCTACACTCCAGGAGAGATCCTTGCTATCACAATAGGCAATGTGCACAGTGGCCAAGTTCACACTGCACCCCTAGCATAAAGAAGCTTAAAGGGAAACTTACGATCTGCATCAATGACAACATGGGGCACGACGAGCGTCGCATTGTCACAGTCAACAATCTCTGTGCTAGCGATGGAGGATAGGCCGGCTTTGTTGTAGCCTCTGACTGATAGCCGAAGACAGACATCCAGGTCTAACTGTCCACCGTAGAATGCCGTGAAGCGGGCCTTTGGAGCAAGATGGGTGACACAAGGGTTTGAAATGAGTATGTTATACTCAAAGAACAGAATCCATATTTGAGTTCTTGTTTAAAAGAATGTGTTCCCTTGTAATGATCGAAAATATAAAAGAACAGTCTCTGAAATCTAATTCTTCAATGTAGGGACAACTTTAAGGAGAGTTCATAAATCTTGACCTATATTTGCGTGTAAATGTTTTATACTTCACTATCTTTTGACTGTCTCAGTCTGCATTCATTAACAAACAGGACATCATTTCCAGGGCATAAAAAAGTAGACATGAAGCAGGACCAAAAAGGTAGACAGTGAAATGATAACCACCACCTTGAAGGTCATTTACAATAAATTATCAGAATGTGACCGTTAGAGAAAGCTTGTTGGCAAGGGGTTCACTTGTGAATTCTAACGATGCTCATACGGCAGGTCACTCAGTGCGCAGGAGACATTTATCTAAGACCCCACTGCAGAGGACCACGGGTGCAGCCGAAATTCGCTCAGTGTCAATGGCCATTTGACACTCTCAATCCATTGCTATGTTATTAGGTGTTAAGTTTGCAAGCAATGAAATATCATACCTGCTAACAGTACAGGGATTCCAAGCTCAGATTTTCAGTTTTAAAGAAAAAAATAATAGTATCAAGCTAAAAGTGCCTAATAGTTCTCTGACAGTCCCCTTTCTAAAGAAATGGAGTGGTCTTGTCTCGGGAATCATTAAAAAAACATGAAAACCACTTAGCAAATGATTGTATAATGCTCAAATAAGACAGCGCAATATATTACGACATGCGAGCAGTGTTTCTTTTTTACCTTGCCCAAAACACATGCGCTTGTATTAAAGTCATATTCTGCCGTTTGAATTTCTTAACTTGCTTAATGGAAAAACAAGTAAATAATGGCTCGTACCATTTCTTGGACGATCACCAAATCCTGGATTCTTGTCCAGTGAGTTAGAAGGGCTCCGTCAGTGCCGTCCTCGGCAATGCTCCACTCATAGAAATCCATCAGTTCCTGAGGGTTGTGATGAAGGACGTAATCATGTGCAAAAGGCTGGAAGGCCACGTTGATCTCTGTTCTGCCTTGTGTCGACTCAATGTTGCTTACTGTGACCTGACCGACCTCAGGAGGTTGGGACAGTACCCAGAATCCATCAGTCATGATAGGCTGGAAGCAAATGCTAACATGGCAAAACTGAACCTGCAAAATGAAATGCAAAATAAACCACAACGGTTAACCGACCAGTTCTCTCCATCAATACTCAGCTGCAAAAGTGAGGCTAACTTCCGTAAGCAAAATTTGAATGGAAATAGAAATAAGCCATTACCTTTGATCTGTAGTGAGCTCCGCTGACCAACCCTACACCTGCCCCAACATGTTGGAATGCCATGCCCAGATCTTCATTATCAAGCAAAGTGGTCCACACAACTGTTTGGTTCTCATAACCTGTATGTGATAGAAAAAGGTTCTCTACAGGGTTCGGTATGAGGGTATGTGATTAAAAGGGCCAACTACCTTTGTGAAAGACGACCAGTAAGCCTGAGAGCAACATTTCAGGTCCCTAATTACTTGTAAGTTTTGTGGAGCTTGTTGGCAACACGACTGTTACTTTATTTTCATTACTTGAAAAATATAAAGAAGTTGACTAATTCTTACTGAGATTTGTTTAAGGAGAAGAGAATCTAATTAACTCTAACAGTCCTCAATCCTTCACCTGTTGGAGGACTGAGGACTATTACGGTTAAAAAAGAAAAATGGCATTTTTTTTTACCCAGTTGGAATGCATCTTTCTATTCTTTTGTAATGTACGAAAACTGTTTGAAAGCCTTTTGGACACAAATCAATTAAAGTTCACTCTTTTAAGCATTAAAAATGGTTCAAGCTTTCCCAGAGGAGTGAGGGCCCTGTTGTAGTTATGTAAATCCGGCAAGATTCTGTTCTGCTCTCATTATTCAAGTTAAAAAGTTTTGAACCCCGAATTTCACTCTGAAAGCATTTCTGAGAAAGTTTGCTTGCTGGTGTATTGCTATATACTTTATTGCACAGCAAAGTTGACATACAAAAGGAAATTTATGATTGCAAAATTTAAAAAACAATCCAGCATTTTTCTTGGTGCAAAAATCAACGTAATACTGATGTTTAGTGCCTTGGATGACATGAAAGGTTCCCTGACGAATATGCAAATTTTTATTAGCATAGAATCCATAAAAGCTCCAAAACAGAGATTCAAGATAGGAAACAAAATGGAAAGTGACGTTAACTGAAATACAATGGTGCTATTTCCAGAGTTTTACTTAAATAATTTTATTCCAAGGCGCCTATAAAATAATTGAAGTAAAATCTAAAGTGTTTATCAGATTACCCAAGTTAGCCTCAATCTCTTGTTCCACCGCCCAGCGGATGTTGGTCACAAAGGGCTGCAGCATCTTAGGAATGGTCCAACGAGCTGAGATGTCTGAGGTAGAGGACTGGTAGGCGATGTCATCCTGACAGAGTTGATCAAACACGCCTGGAGGAACAGAAGCTGGAAGAAAGAGAGACAAAGTAACAAACTCTCAGTGATTGAGAAAGGAGAGGGAAGGTTCAATGAACTGACATGTCCTGAATTCTGAATCAATCTGTAAAGATGGCGAAAAACCATAGGCCTTACTTCCATCTTCATCACAGCCAAGTCCATCTTTGATCGTAGCTCCCTCCAATATCTGACCCTCTTGAATGACTTTGACACCATCTGAGGTAACGGAGACACTGCCAGCTTCAGAAATGGCGCGGACGGTCACGTAATAGGTCTGTTTTAGAAAAGCGTGATAGTAAAATGGTTGTACATATGTGCCAAGAACCAAATCACGTCAGGAAAGTAAAACAGGCTGCACTTTCCCACATGCAAAACCGAAAACTGAAGTATTAATTTCTTTCTTAAGGGGCACAAGTGCTATTTCCTTTGGCAAGGAATTTGGGGAGTCTTGGCATTTTCAATTAAGTATGTAGGGTCGAAACCAGCCTCATATGGGACAGGGGGGTGCTTCCAACAAGGATCCTAGCAGAATACGTATCAAATGACTCCAAAAACAAATATAAAGGCAAAGTGCCAATATTGCCTTTTTTTGGTAAGCATGCCCCAACTTTGCCAGCCAATGTATAGCTTCTGCATGCTCAAAACAAAAAGGGGGAAAAAGAAAATAAAGATAATCAACTCCAAGTGAACAAATAAAATGGGACGAAATCACCCACCCTCTCAGGTGAAACAACAGCCTATGTATGTGTCCGAGTTTTATAAAAAGTACATAAAACTAGGGGCACTGCACTTTCTGTGCATTTCCTGTATTTACCATGAGCGGAGTAAGGTTCAGGCCATCCAGATGATAGGAGGTTACATTGCCAACATCGATGTAACCACCACTGATATCTGAGTCGCCACCTTCTGATCCGACGGCAATCTCGTAGCTGATATCAAGATGGGGATGCTCAAAGCCATACCACCGAGCTGAGATGCTAGTGGTGTCCGTCTGCATGTCTACGTCTTGGGCAACCTGTGTGAGTGAAACGAGTCAGCACAAGTTGAGTTTAGTTGGATGGTCTCACTTCTCCGTGTTTTTAATAGCAAGATACTTTTGATAGGGGAGTCAGGTTGGCGTAGTGGTTCTTTCCTTGCCTTCCCCCTCTGTGCCCTGGGTTCAAATCCCCGCCTGGTCCACATGTGGGTTGGATTATCAGTCCCTACCTAATTCTGTGGGTTTTACCCGGAATACTCCTGTGGGATTTCCCTCCCATCTCTAAAACTGTAACCTATTCTTATGTTCTCCTCTCCAGAGGTTTCTTTAAGCTTGCAAGCTACAGTGCCTGGGGTGCTTTTGAGGAATGCTTGGTCTCATTACCAGAAATTATTAATAATGATAGCACTGGAAGATATCTGGTTACTTTGAGTATTGCAGTTGAATGATACGTTGCAATTTTAGGCTTCATGGGAGTGAAAAATGGGAACAGAATTTTGATGTTGAAATTATTTGCTGCTAAATCTGCCACTGTCCAAATATGTTTACAGTCTGCAAATTTGCGTGAAAACTTAACATGTTGTCTGAGATTCACATTTACTCTGGTGAGCGTGCCTTAAAATGTTGAGAATATTTTTTGATAATTTAGCAGTTTACAGAAAACACAGTTACTAATTTTTAATAGTTAAGGAAATATTATTAACAGTGAACAGCTTTGCTTCCAGCATATAGTACCTCAAAGTCCACAGCCGCTTCTTCTCCTGGCGGAGCAACGTCCAATACAACGCCCAGGGATGGCAACTGCACGATGTGTCTATAAACAGATGAGATCCCCACTGTTGTCAATCCAGCACCATTCTGTGCTCTGACAGACACGTAATATTCATGGTCACCATGGAGATGCCAGTCTAAGTCATCCAATGCGAATGCAGCACAGGATGTGTGGGATGAACACGGACCAATTCTGTAGTATTTTTCCGTCTTGTAAGCAAGGGTCTCTGTGCCACCTGGGCTGCTACCTGCAATGACACAAGAAAGTATGTCATTCCCCCCAAAATGGGAACTTACAAGTCTATGTCAACCGTGCAATCGTAAGCAATCTCTATCTATCTCCACTATCTGCAGTGAGCGGAAGAGCACCCTCGCTGGCGAAAGAAAGACAGTCTGGTACGAACATTTCAACCGGGCACACGTTTGGTGGATAAGCGAAGACCATGCATTCCTGGATAAATTTGCTCCACGTTCCCAGCACGCCACGAATCAAACACGCATAAACTTGCGCAATTATGAAGCAAGTTGGAACCAAAAGACTGTCAATTTCATTTAAAAATGCCCCCTCTGTTGTTCCATTTTGGAGCGCATGCCGATTTTTTTCTTGCATACGAAAGTCAGTTGGCCCATCAGGAAGTATTTAAGCTATATAAAATGCCCCCAAGTATCTTATTAGTTGGTCTTACACACTCACCGATAGCAACTTGATATCTCAGACTCGTATCCTCCTCATCAGTGAAGGCATTATCTGCCCACTCAGCAATCAGGTAGTCCCCCTCTGAACGGACTGAGACACGCCCAACAAACAGGGGTGGAGCGGTGTCCACTACGATTGGACCAATCACCTGTATAAACCAAGACAAAATCAATGTGGATTAATATTGTCAGCATCATCAATACGGAGAGTAGTCCAAATCATGGGCTGTTGAGTCTAAATGCTCATTTCTTGATTAACGTTAAGCGTTTAGCACACACCTTGGTCGTTGATAGCTGGGCCTTGTTCACTGCCGTCAGAATCAGACGTACAACAGACCCGTGGCTGATATCGGGATGGTACATCAGAAAGTGGTCGTGACCTGACGTTGAGATGCTGGCTACGAAGTCAGGCCTGTGATCTAAGGTGTACCCAATCTGGTAGTCGTAGATGGAGCTCTCGGGATCCTCTCCCATCCAGGAAACATTCACCTGTCATTGACGACACAAAATGCCAATGCCAATGCATGCCCTGGGGATTTCTTTGAACCATATGTACAAACTAGGCCTACAAACCACTGGGAAGTATACAGTACATAAGCAAAATATATCACATTTCCATGTTAACCCAATCAAACAATTTACCACAGTGATCCCATACTGATGCTGCGTCTGAATTATTTGACTAGGTCTGGCAGTAACACATACACAAGTCCATTGGAAATACGTTTAGCCACTAGCTGGCAACTGGTATAATAATGGTAGCCACAGCCGAGACATCAGGATGTGGCTCACCCCTCAGTAATTGACTCAGCTGAATATGAATTGAGCAGACTATGTAGTACGCTTCCGATACTGGAGTTTCAAAATACATAGCTAGACCTGAATTTTTCATGATCTGAGCAGTTAATGCATACGTGTCTGTCAGTGGGAAGGAAAAACTTCTCCTGAACGGCTGGGATCCACAAGCAATCGAGGTCTCCATGGAGTATTGCTGACGAGTCGTTGGTACCGACCATCTCAGGATAAGCAGAGAGATCATCTACCAGAGCAGCCTTGGAACTTGGTACAGAGCAAGATATAGTGACATGTGAGCAATTATTTGACGTTCCCTTGGAAGTTCAGACAAACAGAAAAAGAAATCATGTTCTCAGAGGCAATCACTGTGGTGTATCTTGTTCAAGGACACAAGCTCAACAATTTCCAAACATCATTCTCAAGTCCTAGTATCGGCAAAATGAGTCTGATAAGAACGCCCATCATCTTTGGACTCAGGAGCACCCTACCTGCATCCACTGGATGCATTAATCAGCTCCGTCTTCCTGCGGTGCTCATCAATAAACCACGTCCGACCCTCAGCATCCTTGGCCAGACCGGGCCACATCCGAGCGTAGCCAATGGTGATCTCAGACAACTCAGGAGGGCTCATATCGATCACAACGCCGTCAGAGCAGATTGCCTCTGACGGCTCTAGGGCTCGGTTGTACGCGATGACGGTGACATAGTATCGACCAGGAGAGGGCGCTGTCCAACTCGCCTTAGTGGCAGTAGTTCTTGTCATCTAAACAAATGGTGATATGAAATAATGTGAGTCATTTATAGTCCCCTCACCCCCAAGATAACTGACACAAAAAGAATTGTGCTCACTGCTAAACTTAGCGCTACATACGATTAACTTACAGCAACAATTACATAAAATATTTACTGAAATTTGAAGGCTTCAAACTGGCCATTCATCAAAATTTGAAATAGAAAAGTTCATTCAACATGTCTTTACCCAGGAAAATCCAGGTCCATGTACAACTTACCTCGGCTCTGACTCTTCCAATTGCTGTCTCGTTCATCCAGCAAGATGTGTCAAAGAGATACTGGTAAAACTTGACGCCACTTTCCTTGTCAAAGAACCCTTCCCAGTGAGCAGAGAGGTCATTGCCTTCCTGAAAGTCAACCTCATTGGATCCGAGTATCCCATCATACACCACACCGGCTTGGGGAGCAGATGTGTCCACTGTCACCTGTGAGATGGTAAAGGCTGCATATGAAGTAGAACTACACCACCAACCTGTAAGTTACTTGCATGAACCTCTTTGTGCAATTCCTTATCAAAGATGATGGGCTCGCAACTTAACCCAAAATCAATCTGGGTTCCCGAACTTCAAATCCAACCCACGACCTGACAAACACAAGGGTGAAACTGACATGTACCGATGCCCAACCCCCGATGTTTATAGTAATCTGCAGGAACTTAGCAATATCATTTGAGAGAGACATATTTCAGGTTTTCACTGTGATGGCTTAACCAAACTCACCCAATCAGAAAAATTTCAAATCCAGAACCAACACTGACGCAACTTGATTGAAAATGTAGCAAAACTCGGACCTGACTCGAAGTCAGTTTTTGGTCTGATCTCTGGTTTGCATAACATGTTATGTACGTACCCGGATTGTCGCGCTTGTTACCAGTCCCACATGGTTGGTAACCGTCAGGGTGATGGAGTAATCAGTGTCGTGGGCGCCAATGTCGGAAGTTGGATTAAAAACGTAGTCTGCAGCATAACAGTCCCCTGCTGGGATGCACAAACAGCTGGCGGGATCACAATCCAAATCCTGAAAAAGCCAAAATATGTGTGATGTTGCAATGCAATGGAACTTGATCTGATTGAAGTTTAGCACAAGCAATGGTCCAAGGAAAGGTCGAAGAAGGAAAGTGTGCAGGAGTTGTCCTCTGCATTGTCCAACTCAGCTTTCCTGCTTTCTGCCCAAATCAATGTGTATCAGAAGTGTTTTCCCTGCAGAGAAGCAAAGTTTGCAATAACGTTTGCAATTGATGACAGAAAAAAGAAGGAATAGCCAGTAACGCTATTCTTTGAAGCACTAGATTTCAAATTGAGTAAAAACTAACATTCAAATTATGTCTCGCCGCACGTACCGCATCGATTCTCCTGGCTGGAACTGTCTGGCTTTCATACTCTGTCTCTGTAACGGGGTCCCAGAGACGCCAGTGGATACTTCTGACTCCGCTGTGAATGTCGTATGTCCTAAACGCAACACTGGTGGGGGAAGAAAGGAAACTCTTTGACGTTCCATCTGATCCATTAAGACAATAAACAAGTTTACAATCTCTCAGTTGCATTGCCGATACGACTTCTATTTTCAAAGGGTAGTCACTTCAGTTTTCCACCTTCTGTACCTTTAAAGTGATAAGAACTGATTTAAATATTTGCCAGCTGCATCGTTTGGTATGCACAGGTTGGAAAACAAAGCAGAATATGATTGACAGTGCCCCATTTTTCCATTCCAAGGGCAACATATAATGACACGTCAGGTAGGATTTAAATGAGCTGTGAAGCTTGCCTGCAGGATTTGAACTTGAAAAATCCGGACAGCCATTTTTCAAGTATGCTTGAGGACACAAATGCTCTTTACACATGAAAGAGAAACGAAATCCACAGGCCATGGACTTAGCAACCTTTTGACTTGCTCCACAGAATAGTTATACTGACAAAGGGACTAATTTTTGCAAGACATCCCAGTAAACATTTTGACCAAGGTATAGCAAAGACTTTCTTCAGCACAACTGAAGTCATCGTGCCAAGATGCACAACGAAGAGATTTTCTACCTCATCTCATGCAGATCTTCCGAGTTATGAATGGCCAGGTTCACCTCTCCGTCCCGTACCAGCCAGAAGTCTTCAATAATTGGTGGGGACGAGTCGGCATGGACCAACACGCTATCCCTCACAGAGTGACCGGTCAGATCCCTAGCCTCCACCCAGAACCGAACAGAATCGCCGTCCACTAATCTCAGGTCATAGGTCGCCTGCGTGCTCGTGCCTTCATTTCTCCAGTTGTCCGAGTTGTCATCGCTTACTGCGACAGTGGTCCTGCCGCCGCTGTGGTCGATGTCGTAATAGACGCGAAACTCTGTCACACCAAGTGCATGAGGGATAGCTGCACGGCCACGCTGCCCAAAGTTCTGGTCATAATCTATAGAAATAAAAGTAATTTTCATTCAATTAGTTTTTCCCCGGTGTTACAGCTAACAATTATTTAAAAATTTAAATACACTAAACTAATTGAAGTATTTACCACTGTCAATGAGACCGGCAGTATAGGATCCAATTGGTTTCAGCAGTCCTTGGTTTACATGATGCACGTTAATGAATCGGTTTGTCCAGACTAAATCTACCGAGGTTGGCCTGCCAGAGTTCAGACTGGTCAGCCACAGGTAGTCAGTATTTGAAGATGCTGAGGTCACACGCAGAGGGGAATCGGTCTGAATGGTGACATCACTTTGATCATTGTCATAGAACACGAAACGCCTGCTGAGTCTGAAGTTGCCGGCGTTGTCAACGACAGAGAGGATGACGGAGTACACACCTAGAAAACAGGTGGAAAAGAAAGAAGCAAGACCCTTATTCAACCACAGAAATTAGGATCTTCGGTAAGTTCCCCACACATTGTGTGGGGAACTTACCATAGATCCTTGATGGAAAAACTTGAGTCTATTCACTAAACAGAAAATATTGTAAATTAATCATGCGGGGAAACTCGCTAGATGGGTTACAGACTTGAAAAAGATGATCGACAGAAAATGACCAGAATGGGATTTGGACTTGTTCTGACCTTGGAAAATTGAGCACAACCAAACTCTTTTTAATAAAACCCCTCTAAACCAATTTTAATAAAGTAAGGGCTGGCATAAAGTAACTCCTGCACAGAATACATACTATTGCCTTTGCAACCTACCCTGGACTTTACATACACGTACTACGGCCTCTGTAACCTACCGCAGAATACATACTATGGTCTCTGCAACCTACCACAGAATACATACAATGGCCTCTGCAACCAACCACAGAATACATACTATGGCCTCTGCAACCCACCACAGAATACATACTATGGCCTTTGCAACCTACCAACATGGGGTAAAGTGATTCTCTGGCCTGATGAGCTGGTCACTCCAGAATATACTGGTGGACTGTCAAAGATTTCTGTCATCTCGCTGCCATGGCTACCGGATAGCTGTCGCACTACCAGGTCATACTCCTTAATACCAGCCAAATCGTCGGCCCAGCCTTGCCATGTGATGGTTATTGCTCCCTGTGAGATGAATTGCAAAATTGGAGAGCCCACACACGGCCGATCATTGCGCATAAAAAGGAAACCACTCGTATTGTTAGGCAAAGTGAAAACAAGATGAAAAACACAGTTTCTCGTCTTCCTTGTTAAAACCGGAGAGGTGGTGGCCTTTTTTCACAGGTGGCAGATTATTCCAAATGGAGGATGGATTTTCATGACATTTGACCAGCTACATGTGTAGGAGTTTGCACCATTCAAGAGGTGTTAAACTTGCATTAACTGCAATAGATCTTTATAAGAACAGAATAAAACGTTAAAAATATATTGCAGCTTTTCCAAAAAAAAAACCCAAAAATAAGACAAAATGCTACGGGGAAACTGGATGTAGAAAGGATAAAAAACTTTCTTTTCGGCCTTAATTTTCTCTAATATTCAAGGAGAGCAAGAACTGTTAACAAATGTCTAAGGCGCTATCCTCTCTGACATAATAAGCACCTGGCATTGACAAAGAGGAGAGAGGATGCTAGGAATAAGTCAACTTCATTGTGCATGGTGCACCTGTTAGAACCATTTCAACAGAAAATGGTCACGAGTGCTCAGAGATTCCTGCGCCTAATAAAGCCCTTGAACACAGGTGTACACACTGTGTTTCAGTTGCTATATGTATAAATATGCCATTATTCGGTCGCCATCATTGCAAACATCTTTGTTCTACTGCCTCTATGACCTGTATTTGACATCAACTACAGTCCGAAACAGGCCCAGGCCATCTGCTGAAAAATAACAAGGCAGTATTCAAGACTTAACTCGCATTACCATGAGCACACTCCTGAACATGTGACAGGAGCATATATGACCTGTGGGAGAGCAAAATTATGTATGCTCTCGACCAGAAGATACATATTTATATGATGTGGTGGCATGTATTTCAAGATGGCAGAAAGGTAATTCTTGACAGTTTGTGCTACGACTTGATGGGAAAGTAATGAGTACACAACATTGTCCTCTTCTTGCAAACATAAACACACATACAACCACAGTTCAATAGCAGATATGCCACAGGGTCTGCTCTAAAAAAAACCCAGAACTTTATTAATCGTACCAAATAGCAGTGAAATGCACCATGGAGCATAGAGAATGGAGCAAATAACAACCAGTGTTCTCTTTTCTCAAAACATTGTCTGATTCCACTAATTTTCCCCTTTTGATTTGGAGGCTCAAGTTTTAAGTTGCCTGCTCTTTCTGAACTTTTCAGTGTTTCATTATTTTGATGAAATCTGTAGCATGACATATGAGATTTTTGTGCTTCCAAACCATTCGAAATTACGGGGCAGACATTGATCGACGGCTCATCCAGCAAAACACAAGTGCACGATGATGCGCTTGCTTCTTGTGTACAATATTCCTATTCATACAATCACTGCAATTGGAAACCCCTGACTGACTTAATAGTCTTGAATTCAAGGCTGTTAGATAAAATGGCTCAGTACGCTAACCACCCACATATGGTGCACAGTGCAGTATTTGGCACAGCTGAAACTCTGGTCGCTCCAGAAGTCATGCCAGCGCAGGCAGTGCGTCATGCTGCATCTCATGCAAGGTTGGCAGCCTTGTTTTCAAGGCTATAGACTAAAAGCAGCACATGTGCATGCAGTGCGCGACCGGCACTGAAATCGAGATGCGCAGAAATGAAAATAAACGCATTCCCATTTGTCTTTTTCTTTTCAGGCCATATTTTTTGACCCAGAAGGGAAAAAGGGAAGCAAAGAACTTCAAAGGTCTGTTTAAAGAACCTGGAAATCCCGATAAAAACCGGAAAAGCGCCATCTCTGAATAGTCAGTTAAACAATCTCACCTGTGTGGTTACATCATTTCCTGCACTCAGCATGGTTGTTCTGCATCCTCCGGCGGCACTGACGCAGTGGTAGGGCTCCACAAAGTCAAAGGTGAAAGTTGAGTAGGCGGAGCTTGTTCGGCCGCTGTAGTAGCGTGTGTTGATGCGATTGGACAAGTCCCTGTTGAAAAGCTTCAGGTACCCGCCGTTTGTTGCAGACACATCAATCCTCAGTCTGCAATTCAACAGGTAGAATGTAAAAGATTGTGAAATACACTCATTCCTCTTAAGAGATACATCAATGAGTATAGAAGTCTCATTGCTCAGAGTACAATTGTTGGAAAGACAATTTGCTGCCTTGCGCTCATAGCTATCAAACTTGATGAGGCCTGACCAGATGCAGTACCAGTGTAAATATTCTGACAGGGCACCACAGGGGATGCTCCAGATTTTTTGAAGGGGGCACTGAAAGCCACATGGCTTGTACGTGGGTTGTCCAAAGTTCAAATGGAGAAACTGTGGAGAAGAGGAGAGGGCAACAGATTCCTGCTTTCTGATAGGAGACACATGCTCGCCACACACAGCTTAGCCACTGTGATCAGAAGTGCACTATGACTGCATTTCACCCTCTCCAGTCGAAGTACCTCTGAGCTTATTGCTGAGGTTTTTCTTGGTGTGTCACATACAAATCTTTCTTTGTAATGTTTTGCTACAGTACCTCCCCGGGCACGGATAACGGGGGAGGGGCTTGGGGGTAAAAAACAACCCTTCCCCCGCTCTGAAACAAAAAAAAAGGAACAGGAAGTTAAAAAATGACTATTTAAAAAAGCAAGTTCACCAATACCACTGTAAACAATGCAAGTCATGTGCAATGTTTCATCATCGTTTCCGTTTGTCCACAAAAATGAGACATTAACCCCCCCGGAAAACCTTGGATCACCCCTCGTCCTTGCATTGAAGACGTGCACAATAACTTTCCTTTTTTATTTAGTTTTGGCCATTTCAATGAAGACAGCAACCCACAAACAGATTCCTTTAGAGGGTATATAAAACAAGAACGTCAAGGTCTGTTGTCAGGGCGGGTCATTTTCACATCTCTTTTGATACAGAATACTGAGAAGAATTTTAGTGACTTTGTTTTTTCAAGCCCTGTATGGTAGTGTACAGACAACTTCAAGAACTCAGTAAATGAAGAAGTGTAATTCGACAAGCTGAATTAGAGACCATAACTACGGTGGCACAACACCCATGCACAGGTGGTACGCGCGCGTTACATGCCTCTTTGACCAATCCGCCCTGAGCTGAAGTGCACTCTCACCGGCGAAAGAAACTTAAATACATCAAGTGGGCTTGGACTTACACGTCTCCTGTTGATGGGTTCCAAGAGTTATGGTTTAAAGTGAAGGTCACCTCACAGGTCACCAGGGCTGTATTGGGTCTGTGTCGGTTAAAGGACCTTCCAGTTGTCGATGTTGTACAATACCGGGAGCCTACTGAATAAATGCTGCTTGAACCCCCTAGCATAGTAATGGAGGGAGATAATTGTATTCAGTCAGTATAAGGTACATATCAGCACTGAACTGTGATTTGATTTACGCACGCTTCCTTAGACATGACTGGAATCATTTTTCTCCGGGAGTAACTCACGATTCACAGCAGCTGTGACTCTTGCACCCACAATGCCAAGTCCAACGCTTTCAATGTAGGGATGTCCACCGGCGCTGGGGCTCGGCAGTCCAGTAGGTTGGTAGGAGCTTACCCAGTTGACCCTGAGGTTTCTGAAGTTCTGTACATTAGAGTAGACGGTGGCTGTGCTCCCCTGGACTGTGGGCGATTCTAGAGTAGTCGTGCCCACGATCAGGGTGGCACGGTGCTCTGAGAGGGTTGGTGAATGCCTCACTATCACGAAGTAACAGAAAGTGAATTAAAGCAATCTATTTTTGGTTCAACAAGAAACAAGTTTAATAAAACTTCTGACGGGGTGTACATGTCTTCACGTGGATTACTTTTCTGCACTAAACTCTTGGAATATTTTCTTCCGAATCATGCGTTGGCTGATTAAAAAGATATTTCAAATTGTGTACCCTAATTAATACTTCACATCTCTGAATTCTTTTTGCCAGACACAACTGAAAAGCTGCAATTCTTCAAACACTGCACGGGTCATGGACAGAGGTCTCCGTATTTTATGAGAGAGAAGTGTAGGAGTTTGAAGTAAGGCTTGTAGTTCCATCTTGGAGAGTGTCTGTCTCTCAAGTGAAGGTTCACTCTTCTTCCAAAAATATTGGACTCACTTGTTCTGCAGTCTCTTCCCGAGAATCCGCTTTTGCATGAGCATCGGTAGTCTGTGCAGGATCCCGGGTAGCAGGCATTGCTGTCACTCCTCCAGGAACACTGCTCTGAACAAAAAAAAATGAAGAAAAGAATACCTGTGGACTGACGGCAGTAAAATTCATCCCCTCCATTCAGGACAAAAAGATGGCACGTTTTAGCACGTCCCTTTAATTAGATGGGAACACACTACGTGCACACTAAAGTTTATGCAAACTTTGACGAGTAACTACCAGTGCTCAACTGAATTTTGTTGGAATGTATGATATGAATAAGCTGGGAGGGGGTGCAGTGAGGAGAGTGGCCACTCCCCCCACTTTTTCAACTGGGGGTTTAGCCTGCCCCGCCTCCCACATTTTGCAGGTCCTATAATTGGGTAGGGAGAGGGAGCCCTAAATGGCTGATGCCTGATGGTCTAACAACTGGTCCTACCACTTCGAAAATCATTCTGCTGCAGTGTCTCAAGCTATACACTTACTAATGCATCGCCTCATATCATCAGTCTTCCTGTAGGCTGATCCCACAGCAGAGCCGAATTCACCGTCACATCGGTCGCATTTCTGGTTCGAGGAACTGCTGCAGAAAACCTCAACACAGTGTGCAATGGGTGAGCATTCTGTAAAATAACGAATACACCACACAAAATCCACAAATAGATCCAAAGCCAAATTCTTGGAGGGTGTTTGGGGGGGGGACAATATTTGTTTGTAACTTTTTATTGCCTTTCTAAGGCAGAAGGATACTTTAGGTATTTTTACAAGCTTTTCACCAGAATTGAAATAAAATAAATGACTTTATCCCCCCTCAAAAAAAAAAAAAAAATAGGCGGTTTTTTAGGGCAGGGCAATGGCCCCCATAGATCCATTCTTGTAATCTACATCAATCACTTCCAAAGTGAGTCAGCCTATCTCATAAGCAAATGTCAATTTGAATAATTGAGTATTTGAACATAAACCTGCTATTCAATTGAATTTTCATATATTCGGTTAATTTCCAACAAAAGCAGAAACCAAACAAGATTTTACACAGAGAAAAAGGGAAACCTTGAATGAAAAGTCCTCTTTCGTCTCGGCTGTAGGGCCTATGCGTTGAACTTGTATGAACTTATGAAGTTACTCTTAACAGCGTGAAATATATGATATTTCAACTTTATAATTTTCCCTGTTTATATCCATGATTTTCATCCTATAAAATACATATTCAAATGTTGGATAAATCATTCAGAATTATTGACTGAAAATCTGAATAGTCGCGGTTATACTTACTAAACTTTGGTAAACGAGGAGTGGTTTAATAGCCAGAGAGGATAGGGCCGAGTCAACTTGAATACATGACTAATTGGATATTAAACCTTAAATTCAATCAAACATTTGAATATTTGGATATTCAGCACAATTCTAAGAATGGATAAATCAGTCGTATCAAAAGCAGTGTTCTAAGAGCCCTCAATCAAAAAGGTTCTAGCGACAAAAAGCTATGGCAGTGACAGGAATTAATCCAAATCTTCATACTTACGATTGCATCTTGGAGAGTAGTAGCCTCGATTACAGTGGGCACAGTAGTCAGGTCTTGTGCAAGACCCGCCATTGGGGCAAGTGGTGACACCAAAACAAATGGCTACAACAAAACCACGTTTAAAATCAGAAAGAAGCACACATGTGCATACCCGAGACTTCGGTAAAAATTGTGGGAAGAGCCTTTTGGGGGAAGGGTGAAAATTTGCTTTAGGGACCAAACAATCTGGCCTTTAAAACTGGGTGATGATATATACTTTGGGGCTTTTTACACATCTCTGGAAGGAATCAATAATAGTGAAACAAATCACCTCCCTTGCATCAGTTGTCAACTGTTTTTTTTTAGTAATTTGTTTCTGGGGGACGGGTATACACATGTACACATGCATCCAATATTGATCAGGATGTAAATACAGAGGTTCACGTCAAGGCAAACTTGGAAGGCAAGGTGTTAAGAAAGAGTTCCATATACGGGCAAAACCATTTTCCCTTAAAATGTATTATTAGCCATCAGAAAGTGATAACACGCCCTAAAAAGTGAAATGTAGCAAAGAACCGTCCGTAGGATTTACTTAGAAAACAACTAGGTTTTTTACACAAGTCTCACAGGTTTGAGCACAGAAGTGTTGTCCATAACTCTCTCCAGGTTTTCTATTACTAGGATATTTCCTGTTACCTTTGCAAGGTAAAAAAGGTAGCATTTTCCCAGTGCATAACTGCTAGTTTCGTCAATTTTCACATCTTAAACAGTGCCGACTATGTAGGCTGAAATAGATAGCAGGTCACCAAACTTCTGCTTAAAATTGCACTTGCGGATGGTTTGCAGTAGTTCATGGCTGGGCCAGGAGATGGCCACATTAGGGATAATTTCGACAGCTCATAGAATAAGCCTAGATGAATTGATGATGTCAAATTTTGTTCTAAACATATGCAATATGCTACTTATAGGATCATTGTCAAGGATGCCCCGAGGAAAGCTTTTGTGTAAACAAATCGTGACGTCTTCAGTAAACATAAGTCTACTCCAAAATCACCCAGACATGAACAGGTAGCCCATGAACACAACTCACGTTAAACAGGAACACATGCACACGTGATTAACTTTCCTCAATTCAAACAATCTTTCACAACAGTGAATTAGAAACAATATCTCCGATGGCGGAATGATCGATGTCTTCATGCGGTAAGTTCGATCAATTATGCAACATCCTGCAAATTCTAATTGAAAAAAAAAGTTCCAAAGTAGACGTGAGCGAATGACCAAACGCTGTGTATATACGCATTGATAATCCGGCTGACAACTACATGAATGGCCATGCATCTGCAGTACTCGGTGACTGATCTGCACAGCATGATGATGCCATCTTCCCTACCACTAAGATAATGAAATCCTGGTTTCAGAATGGACTAGATTTAGAAATAGGAGGTGCCCAACAATTTTCTTGCACAATAAAAGCACAGACCCAACACATTTTATAGGGTATCCGAGATCCTTTTCAAGGGATGCACAATTGTTTTTTGAGAGGCCAAATGGTTCGGGATTTTTCTTGGTGTTACTGTTTATGGCCTCTGCAGTCTCTCTGAGATAAGAGGGCTATACACAACTTTTGTCACTTTTCACACATTTTTAGCAGTTTGACACCTGTTAAACTAGAGAATCATTTCTTTAATTCTGTTTTATGTTCTGCGCTTCTGGGAGGGGTTTGGCCCTTCCTTCCACCCTAGAATCCATCGGCATCATGGGATATCATGACATGAGTATACTCCTAAAATTTCACAAAAATAGGTGTTGATGAGATTTTACATGAGCTTCCAGTTGTGCTGTATAGTGCATTCTTAGGTTTATTACGATTCGTAAAAATTAAAGAAAGGATCATAAAGAAAGGACTACAGAAGTCCATTTCCTTCCTTATCTGGCCAACCATCAGGTCCTGACCATAATTATGGAAGAATGAATGAGTCAACTTACGGGTATTGCAATTTGATGAGACACTTCCAGTCCAGCCGCTGCAACACCTATAGCAGGTTCCGTCCCTGCACACGGTTAAACAGGAAAAACATTCAATTCAATTCACATTTATTTCCATACTCTT